ATTACATCAAGTTCCTCAGTGCTGTTGATCAGACCACCTACATGGTAGAGTTCTATGGATATGGGAACTTCTCTGGAGTAATTGGCTGCATTGATGGATGTCACATTACTATTAGGTGTCCTTCAACAGACAATGATGAGCTGTACAGAAATTGTAAAAACAGTTTTTCAATAAATGTACAAGGTGTAATTTGAAGCAGGACAACACAGTGGAGTCCTACTTGGTGACAGTGGTTATGCACAAACAAACTTCTTGTTCACACCTTATCTTCATCCAGTGAGACCTGAGCAACAGCACTACAACCAAGCTCATATTCACATCAGAGGGCTAGTCGAGCACATGTTTGGTATCTGGAAGAATCGTTTCCACTGTCTCAGGAATACATGAGGTTTTGAACCAAGAAGATGCTTTATTGTCATTGTGATGACAGCAGTGTTTCATAATTACCTGAGACAACATGGCTTCCCAGATCCAGCAACTGAATATTGAAATGACGCACATGTTCCCATGGCAGAAGTAGCCAACGACAAAATTGGACACACTTACAGAGACAACTTTGATTTGCAGCACTTTTCATGAAAAAAAATGTGTGGAGTGATACACAATTGATGGCATTTGTGTTATTTTGCTTTATGTATTACATTTTGTGTTTTTCAATTCAATTCAAGTTTATTTGTATAGCGCAGTTTACAACATATGTCATCACATAGCATTTTCTGCATAATGTATCATATTTTGAAAATGGTGAAGATGAAGATGAAGAGAGGGAGATTGTGAATTAAAATATTACAATACAATAACAATTCATCCAAAATGTATTAAGCAATAAACTAAGGCACAAGGTTAACAGGGGCATTCTACAATTCTACAGTTCTACAATTTCATTTGGCAGACGCTTTTATCCAAAGCGACGTACATCTGAGAGCAGAAACAACACAAGCAAGGATGTAGTCAGGAGAAAACAATCTAGATAAGTGCCATCGAACAAATTCAAGTGTGATAGGCCGTTGATGCCAATAGCAGGCTGTGTGGCATCGTTACAAAGAGGACTGACATATTGCTGCTGCTGCTGCTGCTGCTTCATGTCTCTCTCCACCTCTGATAGACAACTCAACATGAAGGATTTTCATCTTGAGTTCATGTTCTTCTTTTAAAAACTGTGATTTACGCTCATGGAACTCTGTAGCAAGTTTTTCATGAATGGTTAGCTTTTTCCCTCTTGGCCTGCTGCCTGGATTGGAGATACTGGCTGCTGCTGCTACAGGTGCAGAGGGCTGTTATTCTTGTCTCTGCTGTGGCTCCTCTAACATCTGGTTCAAGCTCAGGTCACCTTTTTCGAGAAAAGAATTCCAATATTAGACATAAGATTTCAAGAGTTGAGGCCATGACCGTATTTTTTAATCAGTGCAAAAGACAATACGATTAAGCTTATGCTAACCTGCTAGGCAAAATAGTATATACACTTAAGCAAATGAGTATCGGAGTGTTTCCCCACCTGAAATATACCTTCCAAGGGTTGCTGGCTTTCAATCATCACAGTTAACAAGTCTCTGAGGTCATCTGTCTGTTGTCTAACTGGGGGTTCCCACCTGTCTCGAAATGCTCCCTACCAGCAATGGCTGTTGTTTTCTTCAAGTGCATTTTAAAATTTTTCCACAGGACCTTTAACAGGCAAAATAGAAATGTGTGTGTGTCAAATGAGAAGACACACATTTCAAAGTGAGTGAATAGTAGAATCAGGCCACCATAGATAATTTAAATTAATCTTACCTGAAGTTGTTGGTTAGCACTGTTGCCTCGCAGCAAGAAGGTTGCTGGTTCACGTCCCGGTGGGGGCACCGGAATCTTTCTGTGTGGAGTTTGCATGTTCTCCCCGTGCAGCGTGGGTTCTCTCCGGGTTCTCCGGCTTCCTCCCACACAGTCCAAAAACATGTTGAGGTTAATTGGTGATTCTAAATTGTCTGTAGGTGTGAATGTGAGTGTGCTTGGTTGTCTGTCTCTAAGTGTAGCCCTGCGATGGACTAGCGACCTGTCCAGGGTGTCCTCTGCCTTCGCCCTAAGTTAGCTGGGATAGGCTCCAGCCCCCCCGCGACCCTAATGAGGATTAAGCGGTGTATAGATAATGGATGGATGGATGATCCTAGGGCTCTGACATCAGCCCAAGTGTCACCTTTTCCATTGAACATCATTAGGACCATTGTAGAAACTACTCTTTATGATTAAACTGCATTCATTTACAATCAGAGGCACCACCAAATATACATTTGGAAATAAATACATTAATTAATATTTGAAATTGAATATTAATAATTAATCAAATCTACTTTTATTGAGCAGTCTCATTCTCAAAAGCTATGACCTCCAGTTCCCAAACAAAGAAACACACAGTAGACCCAACGATGCTTATACACAATTTAAAAAAAAACAACTAATACTACAAACAAACAATAAATAACAATGACGTAACAAACAACAAACAGTGAATAAATGAATGCAGATAAACAACCAAATAACTAGATGTGATTGTCACTGGAAGCAGTTCGTAGAGCGGTGATCAATTTGGAATCACTTTGGAATTGAGAAGCCAAATGTAATTTCCAAATTCACCCGTTTACTGGAAAGAAAATGATGTCGCTGCAGGATGTGTAGCTGTGAGGATCTGCTGGATGACTTGGTTCAGGAATGCAGAGACAAGATGGTGCTTTTGCATAGTTTTATTGAAAAAGTGAAAAGGAATCAAAGCTCATAGTTGTAAAGAAAATGGTTGCTCTGTTGCATTACAACCATAATTTATGAAGCCCAACTTTAAGTAAAACATAGAAAAACAAAGCCCAACTTAAATTGTAGAAAATAATCCTTGATAAAGTAGTGAAGAAGAACAAAGAACTCAGTTTAAAGTCATCATGAAAGAACCCATTTAAATTTTTTTTTTAAACTGTTAAATTAATAAAACCAAGCTGTAGTTGCATTCCAGTGACTTTCTTTTATACAGAAAGTTTAGGAGACAAATTCAACTCAGCATCTGACCAATCATATATTAAACATGATACGTTTAACGCTTTCAGTTCCTACAAAGTGTTAAACAAACCAGGATATGTTTTATATTTTAGATTCTTCGGAGTAGTCCCCTTTTGCTTTGACAGCTTTGCACACTCTTGGCATTCTCTTAATCAGCTTTATGAGGTAGTCCCCTGGAATGGTTTTCCAACAGCCTTAAAGAGCTTCCCGAAGATGCTGAGCCCTTGTTGGCTGCTTTTCCTTCACTCTACAGTCCAACTCATTCCAAAACATCTCATTTGGGTTGAGGTGGGGTGATTGTGGAGGTCATCTGACGCAGCACTCTATCACTTTCCTTTCTGGTCAAATAGCCAAATAGCCTTTACAGAGCATGGGGGTGTGTTTGGGGTCATTGTCTTGTTGGATTTTGAATAAATGACCAACAGTGTGACCAGCAAAGCACCCCCACACCATCACACCTCCTCCATGTTTCACGGTGGGAACCACACATGCAGAAACCATCCGCTCACCTTCTCTGCATCCCACAAAAACACGGTGGTTGGAACCAAAAATCTCCAATGTGGGCTAATTGGATCAAAGTACAGATTTCCACTGGTCTAATGTTCATTCTTTGTGTTTTTTTGGACCAAATAATTCTCTTCTTTTTGTTGTTCTGAACAGTTCATATTGAGATTTGTTTGCTACATCAACTCTCTAAAGAATTTATGTGGGCTCTAGTCTGAAGTACTGTTAATTTGCATTTTTCCGAGGCCAGTAAATCTAATGAACTTATCGTCTGCAGCAGAGATAACTCTCCTTTCCTGGGGCAGTTGTCATGAGAGCCAGTTTCATAGCATTTGACAGTTTTTGCGACTACAGTTGATGACATATTCAAAGTTCTTGAAATTTTCAACTGACCTTCATGTTTTAAAGTAATGATGGACTGTTTCTCTTTACTGAGTTGAGTGGTTCTTGCCATACTATGGATTACAACAGTAGTCAAATAGGGCTATCTACTGTGTACTAACCATACCTCTGCGCAACACAACTGATGGTCTCAAACACATTAAGAAGGCAAGAAATTCCACAAATTGACTCTTAACAAAGCACACTTGTTAATTCAAAACCATTACAGGATACTATCGCATGACGGTGATTGAGAGAATATCAAGAGTCTACAAAGCTGTCATCAAAGCAAAAGGGGGCTACTGCAAAGAATCTAAAATATAAAACATATTCTGGTTTGTCTGACACTTTTTGTTTACTACATATTTCCACATGCGTTCTTTCATAGTCTTTACTGTCAGTTCATACTCACTTTATGATGAAGTGCTAAACAAAGCAGTAACTAGAAATGTTAGTACTGGTACTTAAAGGGCAGCTGTTATATCATAGTTGTAACTCGATAATGCATGTCTGAATATTTTATTCTCTACACTTCTATGCCATATAATTTATTCTCCAATGTCATGGTGTAAGAAACTATGCTTTTTGTCATTTTTTCACGTCTGACATTGCAAGACATTTGAGCTCACTTGAAAGTCAAAAGATTTGCAGAAGATTTGGATTGTACAGTAAAGCAGCGCTGCTAGTTTTTTTTGTTTTTTTTTTATGGATTATCCATTTTCAACACAGTGTTCGTCTCCCTGCATACAAATGTTTCACCACAGCAGTTCCAGCCGTTACATTTTTGAGTGAACATAGAAGCTTCAAAAGACATCATTTACAAAGTTTAGAAAGTGGAGTTTAGCATTCTTCTCAGTTGACCAGCTTGACCATTGTTTCTTGGTTAGCAGCACAATTGTTTTATTGTCTCATAACAATCACCTTAATTTAGCAAATGTTTCAAAATGAATTACAAGGATGACATCTGACTCCGCTGTTGTTACAGTAAAGCAGCTAAAGTAAAGGCCAAAATATTTCAGAAACCAGAAGAGAGACCATCATTGCTACAGCTATGATTAATTGATCTAGCTCTGTATTTGTCTTGTTACTGTTTATCTATGATAAGCAATGTTTCACATACTAAGAATGCAGAACACTGTAATAACATTGCAGGACTCTTAATTTCTCTTCTGTGACAGCAAACACAACACACAGACTTTCAGTAACTATTCAGCTTTTTAAGGCACTGCTAACTAAGGCAACTTTCCTCCTGCATGACATCTGTCTCTCACACACTGGAAGAGACTTACTTCCCACAACAAACCCTCTAGTTTACATACCAGTCCACATAACCTCCTTTATAAAGGGGATGGCTTGTCAATCCGTGGCAGTGCTAATCACAGCAACTACTGTATATTCATTCATACAAATGTCAAGTGCTTATTTACCTAAGTATATTAAGGAAAATGTAATATGGTATTAAAAGTAAAAGCACTTAGTGCAGAAAAATGGCTCCATTACAATACTACAATGTATTGTCTCATTAGATTACTCATACATTAATGCAAAAGCAGATTTTTACTGTTGTAGTAACCACCTGTCACTCAAAGAATTAAAATCAAAAATTGTTAAGAAATGGAACTAAAATCAGAGACTGCCTGTGGAAAGAGTATCATGCTTGACTTTATGCAATATGTACATTAAACCTCTGGAGACACTAGATTTAACGTTATCTAGTTGCAGTACCATATGAAAGTAATTACAGTGACAGTACTGCATTTGAGTGATAAACATAAACCTTAACCAGAAGCTACTGTGTGGAGATGACAGGAAACATCCATCCATCCATCCATCCATCCATCCATCTATCCATCCATCCATCCATCCATCCATCCATCCATCTATACACCGCTTAATCCTCACTAGGGTCACGGAGGGGCTGGAGCCTATCTCAGCTGACTCAGGGCGAAGGCAGGAGACACCCTGGACAGGTCACCAGTCTATCGCAGGGCTACACTCAGAGACCGACAACAAGCACACTCACATTCACACCTACAGACAATTTACAATCACCACTTAACCTGTTTTTGGACCGTGTGCGAGGAAGCCAGAGAGAACCCACACTGCATGGGGAGAACATGCAAACTCACCGATACGTGAACCGGAGATCTTCCGGAGAACCGGAGACGATGGAGCTAATCACCGAGCCACCTTACACATGTGCTCCAAAAAAAACCAAACGTTTTTGGTGTTCCATAGTGCTGTTGTATTTCTTAGTTTAAAAACTAATTTTAGAAGTAAGGCTTGTTTTGTTTGTTTACTTTTAATTAAAAAAATAAACACTTGTGGTGGGTTCAAAGTAACACGATGTTTGAGACTTTCCATGTGCAATATGGACACAGTGAGTGGGTTAACAAACCTCTATCTTTCTGTTTACTGTCTTCCAGACCGGCCACCAGCTCCTGTCAATGTATCTGTCACACAACTGCGAGCCAACTCAGCAACTGTTTCCTGGGAGGTTCCTGAGGGGGACATAATAATTGGCTTTTCCATCTCCCAACAGGTAATTCCTAAACTCATGATGTAAATCAAGATGACACTAATTTTGAGAACCTTTTCACACAAATGTCCAATGGGATAAAATGATGAAGAAATAACATATCCACATGGTCAAAGGTCAACTTCACTGTGACATCATAATGTTTTCTGGACATTATTCAATGTCATTAATCAGGCATAGGAGAAATTGAGAACATACTTCAAACGTAGTTGAATACTGAACTGCTAATATTAATCCTGGGAGTCTACCTTGAAACTGTGGTGATTTTACAGATTGTTTTTGCTGCCTGATTAAAAATGTGTGTTAAGCACCCACTTTTTAGTATGTGTACATTCTCTGCAGCGACATCTGTATTTGAAGTATTTTCTGCTATCATGGCTGTCACTTTGTGCTCTGGTAGAATCAACTTTATTGGCAGAGCATGTGAACACATATAAGGAACTGGCTCTGATTTTTGTTTATCTCAATGAACTTTCACACTTCAAAGTTTCGCTACATACACTATATTCCAGGTGTACAAATGTGAGGTGGTAGTTCTAGCTTAGAATCAAAAGATTTCAAATGCTAAAAGTAAATTATAGAATGCAACATGTTACCATAATCATGTTTAGACTTTATGCAACTCAAAACATTATGCAGCCATGTTATTTTACTTGTTTTTAGGTGGAAATAATAGACTGAATACAACACATATACTCTTTTCATCATTTTATGTAGTTGCATTTGAACAATTTAGGTAATTTCCTTGCGCATATAGTTTAATCATTACTTTATCCAATGGCCAGTAAAAACACATAAGACATTTGGGCCAAAGCCATTCCAAATACAGATGGGCACACTGATATGCTCTTGTTATATGCAAGAGTAGAAGCAATTGTAACAGCTTTAGGTTTAGATTACTCCAATAAAATTGCGAAAGGTCAGAGAGAAAGTCTGAGATTTTGAAAGCTTGGCTCTGAAAGTGCTTGTATTCTAAATTATCTGAAATTTGATTTCACAACTTCCTAATTTCCAGTCAAAACCTCATATGGGGAAAATAAAGTGCCAACTGTTAATATAATAAAGTGCTCAGCATGTTGTTCTCCAAAACCTTGATTATTTTCTGGTTGGCTGCCGCTGTCATTTGTATGCTCCCTATACAGGCGCTTGATTGTTTTATTTATTTATTTATTTTTAATGTCTGTGGAGAATAATATATTGTTGACTGCAGCATTGCCCTGTAAAGACAAAACTCATAAAAGTGAAGCAATGATATTTCAGAGTAAAGAGTTTTCTTACTTTAGGACCCATTTTTGCAGCGGTGGCATTTCCATGTGTCCCCTTTATCACCTCATTTGGCCACTATTGATCACTGGACCTACTCAATAGTCTAATTCATTCTGTTTCTGTCTATCCTTCTTCTAATATCCAGAAGCAGGACGGACACATGCAGCGATTCATTCGTGAGGTCAACACCACCAGCCGCTCTTGTACTCTTTGGGACCTAGAGGAGGAGACAGACTACATCATCCAGGTCCAGTCAATTGGTCTCTATGGGGAGAGCCAAGCCAGCAAGAAAGTTCATTTTCGCACCCTAAAAAAGTCAGATCGCTTTCCTTCCAACAGCTCCAACCAAGGTATGATACTTTGAGTGCTATGACAGTTAACTTCAAAAAATATCTTTTCTTTGTGCTAAGTAAAATCTGCCTGAGATGGCTTTGCCATTAATAATGGCATTGTCATTAATAATAACAATAATAAGAAGAAATGATCAGATTTCTAGAGCATTTTTCTAGGCACTCAAAGACGCTATACACTGTCAGTTATTCATTCACACACATGCATTCCTGTGGTGGTAAGCTACGATTGTAGCCACAGTTGCCCTGGGGCAGACTGATAGAGGTGTGGCTGCCATTCTACGCCTATGGCCCCTGCGACCACCACCTCAAACAATCCATTCATACACATTCACACCAGGCAAGGTGGGTGACGTGTCTTGTCCAAGGAAACAACGGCCATGACACAGGGACAGGGCGGAATTGAACTGCCAACCTTCCAATCATTCACCGACTTGCTCTATTACCTGAGCCACAACCATCCCTTTATTAAATTTGCTTACAAAAAGTGCAACAAACCCTCAGTCCCCACCTGGGAAGAGGGTGCAGGTGGGAAACTCTACCTTTATATATGAGAGTCAAAGGTGGTAATGGGCAAAAATGACCTCTATGGATCTGCACTCAGTTGCTCTTCCTCATTGAGCAGGATGTATGTCTTAATAAATTGAACCTAAATTACAAGAACTGAATTTGAAAAGTGACAATCAGATATGGAAGTATAGAAAGGCTTAAATCTTCAATGAGGATTATAAACAATTTCAGCTTCAATTCAAATCTAATTAATTTAATTTGAAATTACGCAATTCAAATTTGAATTTTTAACACAATAATTCAAGTTGAGCAATTCAAATTCAAAAAATATTGATTCAGATTCAGTTTCTAGTGATACATATTTCTGCCCAGACCCTACCCCTTCTCTCTAACATGCCCATACAGACTAAGAAGTTTAGCAGTACAATTTGGCCTACTCCATAACTTTTGTCATAGGAAGCGCTGGCAGCCTGGCATCTGGGGCCAGTCTTTTGACATCTTGATTCACTAAAGGAGGCAATTGGAAAGAGTGGTGCTCTGGAAGACTTCCATCTATGTGAGTTAAGAAATACTTTGGAGAATCAACATAGTCATCTAGAGGCGAATTAATGCCCACCACATTTTCTGACTACTACAGATTTGGCTAAATAGCATAACAGCCTTGAGAACTAAAGAAACATTTTTTTCAAAAATTTTCATTCAGACTCGACATGAGTTCAATGTACTTTATTTTTAAAACATGGTTACCTGCTTGCTGAGACTATATAGAAATGTTTTACATGGACTGCATTTTAAAGTCAAATGTATCTCAAATTTTATCTCCTCCATATAAAAGTAGATGGATGGAGAAAATATTCAGTACTTTCAGTAATTAGTGTTTTGGAGTCTTCTGTGTTTAATGCACATGTCTTCTCTCCTAGATGACCCGACTGTGCAGGGACTGGACAAGTCTCGACATCTACAAACAGGAGAAATGATCATAATTGTGGTGGTTTTGGTCATGTGGGCAGGTAGGTTTGTAGATATGTAATTGATTTGCCACAGTTAAAGTGGGAGAAACTGTAGAGACAGGGATAAAGTATGCTACAGCAATTAGAAGTTTGTTGGAGTCTTTGATGGAAAAACATACAAAGTGTCTTAGGACGATTTGTGATGCTCCTGATAAAAAAGAGAAAAGAAAACTCAGTGTTCAGAGGGTGGATTGCAGTCTAAAAAGGTATGTGAGTGACAACAAGGCATACCTCACAAGCATGCATCAAGTGTTTGTGTAAAAAAAAAAAAGTCTTTGTGTAATTATATTCACTGCCAGCAGGGGCAGGCAAAGTTCTGCACTGTAAGTTTAATATAAGAATTAACATCTTACACAATATACTGCCCTTGCAGTGTGTGATCTGGTGCATAGCCAGGCAGCTAGTTAACATTCCAGAAGTCTTCAAATAATCACACAGGGCTTGCTTTTCCTGTCCTTTAATTGAGTCTTGACTGTTGGACCAATATTGTAAAACTGACACATTACAGAGTAAATAAAACATATAAGTATACATTCATTAACATATTCATGAAATCAGTAAGTATCACACATGTACTGCAACCGTGTGTAACATTTTTACTGGTGTATAAATCGAGAATATACTGTACAAAACACAATTTGACTGCTTCTGCAAATTACCTTTTATTTTAAGTCAGAAATTAGAATATGAGCAACATCAGGCACAACTATTTACAGGAATGCAAATCTTCTACCTTTGGAGGATATTCTAATCATAATCTAATTTAACATTATTAAGACTTACCAGAACTAAATTTCAAAACCATTCATCAAACTTTCATCAGTATTTACAGGGTTTGTACAAACTCAAAACACACAACACAAATAATGAAAAAAACACTATTCAGGGCTCCAGATCAACTTTTCACTGGTAGCACCGGTGTGACCAACTTTTTATTTTTTCCACCTCCTACCTGGTCAAAGGCAAAACATATGACTTGCTGAACATCTTTTAGCGATAGACACTAAGATGTACTGATGCTCTCTTAACATCCCACATAGCAGGCTGTGGTAGATGATGCTTGGTGGCTGTGGTGTGGTCTAACAGGTATTCTAGGCATTCTAATGTCAGATTTGTCCGAGGTTAAACTGCGTTACATGTATTCTACATGCAGTCTTTTCTATGAGCGGAAAAACAGTGAATGCAGATGCGCTCCGTTTTTCACAAGAAGACCTCATTTTTAAGTGTAAATGCTGCAGTACACCAAAGTTATAAAAGTACTACTTTCCACCACTGTGGTCCACACAGCAGCTTCCTGTGCCAGTGACAGCGACACCAATACAGCTTCATGATAATCATGCTCATCAATTAACACACTCTCAAAAAAAAAAAAAAGTTGCAAATGGAGCCCTGACATTTGAACAAAAATTTGGCTCTTCTCTGTTTTTTGCTCTGCAAACTTCTCTTTTACTTTTTGGTTGAAGTCACTCATCTCTGTGACCAGCCTTTTCTCCACTGACAGCATGGCCGATGCATTAAGCCATGACCACAGTAGCTGTCATATAGTCAAAGAGGAGGGGAAAGGCCGTGTGATGGTGTCAGATATGTATTTAAAGCGCAGTCGTAAGAATGTCAAAGGACAGTTTTGATATCCAACCACAGAAGACAAAGCAAATAAAGACTGCAGATGCCAATCAGAGTCCAAGCCAAGGTCACATGATCACGAAAAGTTTACTACATGCACTCATGTGGCTGGTGCCCCACATCCAGGAAGTGTAAAATTAGTAAACACACAGTAAAGACTCATATTAAATCTGTTAATAATACAAATATTGTTAATATGGCAAAAGAATATGAATGTTGTTATCCAACCATCCATTATCTATACACCGCTTAATCTTCACTAGGGTCACGGGGGGCTGGAGCCTATCCCAGCTGACTTAAGGCAAAGGCAGAGGACACCCTGGACAGGTCACCAGTCTATCACAGGGCTACACTTAGAGACAGACAATCATCCACACTCACATTCACACCTACGGACAATCTAGAGTCACCAGTCAACCTCAACATGTATTTGGACTTGTGGGAGGAAGCCGGAGAACCCGGAGAAAACCTTGGTGCAGGGGGAGAACATGCAAACTCCACGCAGAAAGATCCCGGGTGTCCTCACCGGGACATAAACCAGCAACCTTCTTGCTGCGAGGCAACAGTGCTAACCAACTGCGCCACACTGCAGCCCTAACATTATTATTAATTTTTTTTATTATTATTTTGTTAGAGATAATTCAAACTGAATATTGTGTTTGTGAACTACTTTTTTTCTGGTCATTAGTAGTGGGGTGGCGCCCCTGCACGCCGTATTGACCACAGCTTACAGACAAAAAATCTCCAAGCCAGAAGCATATTGTAAAAACACTGGCAACACCATGAATAAGCTCTGTCCATTGGCTGTCTGTGCTCTACCTAAAAAACGTTGCTAGCAAGAAAACAAAGATAACTCAAAGATAGGTCAACATCGCAGAGGATTTGTGGGAGGAAGCTGGAAAACCCAGAGAGAACCCACGCTGCATGGGGAGAACATGCAAACTCCATGCAGATTGATACCGGGTGTCCTCACTGGGACGCGAACGAACAACCTTCTAGCTTCTAACAGTGGAATACAGTGCCTGAAGTGATAAGAGAGTCTCCATCATTGTTTTCATTTAAAAAGAACGCCAAAAGGTGGCTGCTAGAGAAACAGACCTGTGAACACTAATTGTCACAGGAAATGTAAATATATTGGTTGCATGCTCTTTTTCCCCCTGTATTTTTATTATTGTATGTGTAAATTGCTATGTGATGTTAATTTAAAAAAAATATTTTAGGCTGGCATTGACAACTGCCAAAGGGACTACCGATGAAAACTAGCTTAATTTAGATAACTCGGGCATGTTTACATTGTACAATGTTAATTAATGTGCATTGTCCCTTGTCAAATAACTTACTAACTAACTAACTAACTGACTAACTACCTAAATAAATGAATAAATAGCTGTGAGGCGATGGTGCTAACCACCGAGCCACCTTCCAGCCCCTGGTTAAAAAGTGAATAGAAATTGAGGAAGTGTAATGTTACATGTAGTTTCTATAAAAAAAAGTATTCTTCCCCTTAAAAGTTTCCTTGTTTTATTGCTTTTCAACTTTCAAAGCCAAAACTCAGGGTATACAGGGACCTTGAGGGAAGATTTACCATGTTTTCCTGAAATCATTTCTGTATGCTCCAGGTCTTTCTCAGTCTGCTGGAAAACATTTATTCTCCTAAGTCTCAAGCCTTCCAGGTCCTGCTGCCAAGAAGCATCTCCACATCATGATGCTGCCAACACCATACTTCATGACCCGGATGCTGTGTTTGTGATGATGTGCAGTGTTTGGTATCTGCCGAGCACACTGTATAGTCTGATGGCCAAAAAGGTCAATTTTGGTGTCATCAGACTAAAAAACCTTCTTCAAGGCTCCAATGTGGCTGCTGGTGAACTCTAGTCGAGATTTATTCTGATTTTTTTTCAACTGTGGCTTTCTCTTTGACACTCACCCACAAAGCTTTGATTGGTGAAGAATAGGCAACAGTTGCTGTAGTCTCTGCCATCTCAGCCAATAAGGCTTGTAACCCTTCGTAATAGTCATTGGTGTCTCGGTGGCTAGTCTCTGTCTGGCACTCCACACTCAGTTTTTAAAGACAGCCTGTTGTAGGCCTTGCTATGTATGTGCCATATTACTCCTATTTGTTAATGATGGATTCAAAGGAATTTTCAGTCATTTGGAAATTTTCCTGTATCCAAGAACTTTTAAACAGACTTACTTGGAGTGTTCTTTTGTGTTCATGGTGCAATTATAACTGGGAGTACTGATTCATCAGTCACTGGACCTTTCAGATAGAGGTGACCTTATACTACAATCACTTGAGACACACTTATTGCACTCAGCTAACTCAATTTCATTAATTGTGTGACTTCTCACACCAGTTCCCTGCTGCTGTGTTGAATTAGGTAAGCAATTTTAGCAGGGGTAAATACTTATGCAATCATTTATTTTACTTTAAAAATATATATATATATATTTTGGGGCGCGGGGCTGCAGGGTGGCGCAGTTGGTAGCACTGTTGCCTCGCAGCAAGAAGGTTGCCGGTTCGCGTCCCGGTGGGGGAACCGAATCTTTCTGCGTGGAGTTTGCATGTTCTCCCCGTGCAGCGTGGGTTCTCTCCGGGTTCTCCAGCTTCCTCCCACACAGTCCAAAAACATGTTGAGGTTAATTGGTCATTCTAAATTGTCCGTAGGTGTGAATGTGAGTGTGCTTGGTTGCCTGTCTCTAAGTGTGGCCCTGCGATAGACTGGCGACCTGTCCAGGGTGTCCCCTGCCTTCGCCCTAAGTCGGCTGGGATAGGCTCCAGCCCCCCGCAACCCTAGTAAGGATTAAGCGGTGTATGGATAATGGATGGATGGATTTTGGGGCGCCACTATAGCTCACCTGGTTGAGCTGGCATCTCATGTACAGGGCTACAGTCCCAATGGGGAGGTCATGAGTTCGAATCCTGCTCATGACCCTTTCCCACATGTCCTCCCCCCATTCTTCTCCCCTACTTTTCTGTCTCTCTCTGACTAAAGCTATCCAATAAAGGCACAAATGCCAAAAAAAAAAAAACTTAAAAAAAAATATTTCTTAAAAAAAAAACTGATATAGTAAATTATTGTCAAAAAAAGCCCAATTAAATTGGCAATAGTTCAATGTTGAAGAGCAAAAAAAAAAAAGGGACACTTCCTGAGGAGTGAATACTATTTATAGGCACTGTATTTCCAAGCATAAATCAAATAGATTTTGGATTTAAAATTAAAAACAAACAAACAAAACAAACAAACAAAAAAAGAAATTTGCTGCCTGAATTGGTTTTTTGTGTGTGTGTTTTTTTTTTAATGTCCCAAAGCCACTGCTAATCATTTCTGGTCAACCTGCATCCATACATACATGTGAAGCAGAGCAGCTTAGCTTTTGACAGTTGACAGTGGACAGTTTTGACAGGCCCCACAGAAACACAAAAATCAGTTCACTTTTCATTACGAGGACTCCATTTCCTTTTAAATACTTTGTGTACATGTTCACCTCTATCCTGCACAACTTCTGGAGATTTGTTCTGCCATTATCTGTGCTATTTTTTTTCAGCCACTTGCAATGCTACATTTTTCCTTTCTTAGAAACACTCGTGTGATTTAGGCAGCATGCCTGTATTGTTATCATGCTGGAATAATTCTATTTTGCTAAAATTCTGCAGAATTCGAGTCAATTCACATTACCAGAGCTGTACATCAGTTTGTAAATAATGATAACTTTCTGATAGATAGATTTCTAGTAATAGCCTCAGTAAAGGAAGGAGGATAATTCTGAAAATATAGTACTGTTTCAAACTAGAGGCAGAGTTGTATTGGCAGACTGCAAATGAGACAAAGTGAACTCTATTGAGAATTACTGTCTCCCAAGCTTTCTGATAAAGGCACAGCCATTATTGTCATGGCATTTAGAGGAAGTGGTGACATGTCTGTGATTGGCAGCTGCTGCCTCATGACTCACTTCCTATCTTTTGTGTGTGTGTGTGTGTGTTTTGGATATGTGTCCATCTCTCACCTCTTGGCAGCTGTTATTGCCCTATTCTGCCGGCAGTATGACATCATCAAGGACAATGACTCCAGCAACAATAAGGAGAAGGCCAAGCCGTCATCAGAAAGGAGCACACCAGAGCACCACAGTGAAGGACTGCTGAGGAGCAAGGTAAACACAATATCTATAATGCAGGCCCATGACATACTCACAATAAAAAGTTAGATTTAAATGAATTTTCAGTTAAGTATTGAAAACATGTACATCAGTCGATTTCATGTATCCCTGATATAACGTATAGCTCCAGTCAATGGTCAACATCTATCTATCTATCTATCTATCTATCTACCTATCTATCTATCTATCTATCTATCTATCTATCTATCTATCTATCTATCTATCTACCTATCTATCTATCTATCTATCTATCTATCTATCTATCTATCTATCTATCTATCTATCTATCTATCTATCGATCTATCGATCTATCTATTTTCCAAAGTCAAAGTTAAAATTGATTTCTATAAGGTAATGCCAATTAACAAACAAACAAACATAAAAGATTTAGAATAAACAATTGCACAAATATTTACCCCCTTCAAGTCTGTGGTAGCAGATTCAACTTTGGCCACTATTACAACATTAAGCCTATTTGGATAGGTCTCATCCAGCTTTTGACAACTGGACAATTGCACTTTTATCCCATTCTACTTTGTAAATCTGCATGATGGTCATGAGCAAACAGCTTTTTTTCAAGTCCAGTCACATATTCTCTAGTAAAATCCCATTGAGACGAAAACCTTTTTTTTTTTTGTAAATTCTTGTGACAAAAAAAGCTGAATTGTACTGTCAAAAGCATTATAGGGGAAACCTCCAAGAGGGTGAACACTTTGTATAGCCACTGTCTACACACAAGTAGCACTGTTGTACATAGTGTAGTTTCACCATCTACAGTGCTGTGAAAATGTATCCCCCCCCCCCTTTTTTAAAAATAAATATTTCCCCCACCTAAATGTTTAAGATCATCAAAAAATTTTTAACACTGGACAAAGATAACAAAAGTAAACACAAAATGCAGTTTTTGAATAATGATTTAATGTTTTAAGGGAGAAAAGATATCCAAACCTACCTGGCCCTGTGTGAAGAAAGTAATTGCCCCTCATCAAATTCAAGAACAGATGAGAAATAAAGTAATTGACATCTATTAGTCTGGAAAGTGTTTCAAAGCCATTTCTAAAGCTTTAGGACTCCAGCAAGCTGCAGTGAGAGCTATTATCCACAAATGGAGAAAACACAGAACCGTGGTAAACTTTCCCAGGAGTGGCCGGCCGACCAAAATGACCCCAAGAGCACAGTGACAACTCCTCCAGGAGGTCACAAAGGAACCCAGGACAACATGTAAAGAACTGCAGGCCTCCCCCGCCTCAGTTAAGGTCAGTGTTCATGACTCAACAATAAGGAAGAGACTGGGCAAAAAAAGGCATCCATGGTAGTGTTTCAAGGCCAAAACCACCACTGACCGAAAAGAACATAAAAGCTTGTCTTACTTTTCCAAACAAACATCTGAATGATGATGATCTGAAAGCCTCCCTGAGACTTTTGGGAGAATATTCTATGGATTGACAAGACAAAAATTGAACTGTTTGGAAGGTGTGCATCTGATTACATCTGGTGTATAGGTAACACAGCATGTCAGAAAAAGAACATCATAGCAACAGTCAAACATGGTGGTAGTGTGATGGTCTGGGGCTGCTTTGCTGCTTCAGGACCTGGACGACTTGCTGTGATTGATGGAAACATGAATTCTGCTCTCTACCAGAAAATCCTGAAGGAGAATGTTCGGCCAAATTAGTTCATGACCTCAAGCTGAAGCGCACTTGGGTTCTACAGCAGGATAATGATCCAAAACACACCAGCAAGTCGACTTCTGAATGGCTTAAAAGAAAACAAAATGAAGGTTTTGGAGTGGCCTAGTCAAAGTCCGGACCTGAATCTGATTGAAATGTTGTGGCATGACCTTAAAAAGGCCCTTCATGCTCGAAAATCCTCCAGTGTCACTGAATTAAAACAATTCTGCAAAGAATGGGCCAAAATATCACCACAGAGATGTGAAAGATTCATTACCAGTAGCAGAAAACGTTTGATTTCAGTTGTTGCTGCTGAGGATGGCCCAACCAGTTACTAGGTTTACGGGGCAATTACATTTTCATACAGGGCCAGGTAGCGTTGAATAGTTTATTTCCTTAATAAATAAAATCATCATTTTAAAACTGCATTTTGTGTTTACTTGGGTTGTCTTTGTCTGATTTTTACATTTGTTTGATGATCTTAAACATTAAAGTAGAGAAAATATGCACACAAAAAAAGAATTTGAGGGGGGGACAAATACTTTTCTATGGCACTGTATTCAAATTACCATGTTACACTGTTGTGACAAAAAAGTGTTTTTCACTTGCCATAGCAGCATTATCATGGTACTTGTATGTATCGTATCTTGTATGCTTGACACTGTGTTGAGCTGAAACCCTTTTCACTCATTGAACGGAATTAATGTTTATGCTGTGACACGGTACGGTCACATTTTTGACATTTGCAATAAAAAAATTAAAAGCAGAATGTTGAACTATTGATCTTGAATACTTACAAAACTGATATAACTAAGAAATAAATTTTGAAAGTGTCTGAATTGCAATCAGCTCTAAATTTCCTATATTTCTGAAACTTAATTTCAGCCATTTAGTTTCGGTAAATTTAAATGGAACACTGCAATTGTCTGCTATGATCAAAGCATTCCTTTATCGCACAAGAAAAAGTAAAACAGCAATTGTGATTTTCTTTTGTTTTTTTTATTGTCTTTGCAGTTTCATCCTTCTGTGCCATCAATCAACATCATTGAAGTTTGAACGTGGGGAGCTGATGCTAAATTTCTCTCTCTCTCTCTCTCTCTTACTTCCACAACTCATTTTTGACTTTTCCAATAGATAAGGGAAAAAATGAGAAAAGGGGAATTTCCTGTGTGACATCATCGGTGAAAAAATGCTGACACACACACACACACACACACACACACACACATACCATACAGTAGCTAAAAAAGTATATAATGTTAACCCATGGTGCAATTCACATTGATGTCTTTGCTGGGTGCTTGGTATGTTATTGCAATACAAAAGTCAGAATACAACTTATCTCTGGGAGGCCTGTATTTGTGACTTTAAATATGCAGTGTATTTTTGATATTGGCATGTGCAATTTAGATACAACATTCATCTGCTGTAGACATGTCAGTTCTAAATATATCAACATTTTTCCAGCGCAAATAGTGTTAATATAGTGCCTAATCACGAATGTATATTGCTGTCTGACAGCTGTGAATATGACTAGATCTTTGTAAAGAAGAGGAAGCAGTTACATATGTCTAAAATTCATCTGTAAAAACTACCATCAGTGCACTTGTTAATTTTTCCTAATACTGAAATTAAAATATAATTTTCTGCAAAACATTGTATCTTTTCACATTTCATACATAACAAACATGTCTGTACATATTTCATACATTTCCTAAATTAAGGTGCACGCAGGTTATTTGCATGTAGAATAGCACTTGATGTACATTCTAAGTTAGATGCCAAAATGGAGAAATAAACATGATTGAAGTACAGTGAAGCTCTTAATGTTTTGTTACTTCTATTATATCTACTTTTAGAAAGCGGCACTATCTTTTACTTTACAGTGCTTCATTTTAGAACTTGTGAATTTTACAGACAATTTTATTTAAAACGAACAACGCTTCTTTCACTGAAATGCATCAAATCTTCAGTCTTGCACCAAATGCAATTTTGCATATAAATTGCCCATTGAACGTCATAAAGATGAATGGTGCGCATTAAATGCTGGTAGTTCAAATTGCTAAGTTTCCTTCTTTCATGCTGAGGTAGTAAATGCATACAAGTGCATGAAAAGGGACACATGACCGAAAATCCTGAGTAGTGTTCTGCTTGCCTTATGCCTCCACTGCCATAGTAGCATAAATGCTCCACAAGCAGGCTGAAACACAAGCTCTTACCAATACAAGCACAATACATTTTTTCATGCTACTGTTACAGCCCATCTCAAGATTGCACAAGTAGGGTGACAACACCAGTGGGTGACTATGAAAAAACGTTTATTTGACCAAAAACAAAGGAAAATGTGCATCAAACAATATAACAATCAGTATATCAGAAATGTGGAGTGTGCTTGGATGCGTGTGGAGTAGGTGTGTGTTTCTCTATGTCTCATCAAAACAACCACACTACTGATGTGTTCGCAACAGAGAAGGCCAGCTGATGTGAGAGACAGAAAAGCAGAATAAAGGAGATTTATATAGGCAGAGCACACTGCCTACGAATCTTTATTCTGCACCCAACAACCCCTGGCACCTGGAGAAGTACTTAAAGAGTGAGGGAAGAGAAACAGATGGAAGACAAGGAAAACTACATGTGGAGCAGCAAGCACAATCTCACAAACCAGGTGTTCTTGACAAAGCATAGGCCACAATGTTGTCTGAGCCTTAAGTGAGTGTGAGGTGAGTGTCCAAGCAGTATGACTGCAAGAAGGAAGAACCTTGCATCAATCTGCAATTCGAGCCGTGCAGTGAGTTCAGTGATAAGGGGAGATGGTGATCATCGAATAGAGGTTCTCCATTGTGTAAAGCTCAGTGCACTACTTTCTAAATAAATGCTCACCCAAAGACTTCAACTTAAACAATATGTCACTGTTCTTTAAGTGCAGTGTGTGGCTGCACACCTCCCCCAAACTTCACACAACTGAAGCCCCCGGGTATAGTAATGTTTAAGCAGATTGACATGGCAGAGTTAAGTTTCTCCTTTGCGCTCTGGTGCAAGTAGTTCTGTTTATAGAGTCAGAACCTTGTCCTCTGAACTGAACTGGTGAACCTCCGACTTATGGTCATACCAACAATTCATTTTGGTCTATGAGGTGGCCAGGCTCCTCTTAACCCTTTCATGGGATTTTCAATTAAATGTTCTTTATGTGACACACATTTCTTTAAACCAGCAACTTGTTTTTCAGGAGACAGCCATTCGCAGCACTTTTCCCATCTAAGAGTACAGTGTCCAACAACATCCTAGGCATTGGATCAGCTTGCTGTTCTGCTGCTAGGTCACTGTGGAAAACTAACAAAAGAGAATGAGTTAAAACCACAGTCCCCTCATTATCCCCTGTGCTACTCTGTTCGGATTCTGCCCCCTACGACACACTGACCGTGTAACTGCACGTGCTGTGAAAACACCAGGGAAATGCTCAACGGGCACCTCTGTAACAGAAGGAAAAGTTGTTACCACAGGTTGTAGTGAACCATCAGCCCCCAAAAAACTACCAGTCAGGTTGTTCCCCAGAATAATATCCACATTTTGTACTGGCAGAGCCGGATGCACCCCTATGGTCATTTCACCATGAACCAAACCACAGTCAAGCAACCAATTAATGTGCTGGAACAGGCAACACATTTAATCCTATTCCCTGCACCAGAATGCAATCCCTAGTGGTAGCATGCCAAGTGAAAGGCAGCACAGAACTCACCATTAACAAATTAAATGCTCCAGTATGCTTCAAAATTTTCACTGATTACCATCTGTTACCACTTACTGATGCATTCCTCCTCTGGGCACCAAAACAGCTCTCTATAAGCTCTCTGGTTTTATCTGGTTTTCCTCAACTTTTTATTGCTCTTTTTAGGAACTTGTTTGCTTATAATAATATCTTTCTATCTGTGAAAAGACCCTAAAGCAATCGGAGGTCTAGATTACAGTTTTAGAGAGACTTGCCCACACTCAGGTAGCCATGGCTCCACTTACCTCACCATCAAACTGTGTGAATGTTGTTAGGTATTGATAGGTTTGAGATGAGACAAAAATCTCTTGATACAACCAGGTTTGAGATGAGACAAAAATCTCTTGATACAACCAGGATTAAGACATCATGTAAGATAACAGACAAGGATTGTAAGGGGATAAATTAATGTCTTGTTAAAGCTCTTCCAGAGCTGGCTCCTGAATCAGCTTGATGAATTGCTATTTTAAATGCAGTGGATGCTGCTGAAACTCATGAGAATTAGACTGATAAAAATCACAGCACCAGATTTTTCATTACATTCCTACAGTTCAGAACAAACATGTGAAGCAACTTGTTTAGACCCCTGGAAGGCCTTCAAATAGGGCTACTGGTCCAGCTCTCTGTTAGGTTCTATCACCTTAAGGGTGTTGCCCTTATATTGACGTTAAAACCAGCTTAAGGGGGAGTCATGAAAGTTAACCTGGCTTCTGACTGCCTTTATCCAAATGCCTATTCCATTTAATCTGATAGTTAACTCAACTGAGAAGCCCTTTTAGCCGAGTTACCCTCTCATTCACATTTGTTAATGGCAGCTTTCCTCTATATAGTCTGAGCTCTTGGTCAGTTGCTGGGTCATGTTTTGAGGTTATGATTAAAAAAAACAACAACCCAGGACTATGTTTTTAAATCGATAAATCACATTAAGTAGGGCAACCTTTTAAACCTTTAAAAATCTCAAATGCTCAACTGCCTAAGTTTTAACTACAATCAAATGTTGCTTGTGTGTTTAATTAAAAGTCCAAACTTATAGTGTGAGTAAATGTGATTACAGTTCCATAATTTTGTTTAAAAAGTAAAAGTCAGCATTTCTGCTAAACTTGCCTAATGGTGTTAATTGGGAGGGAGAGAGCAGAAAACTTGGCCATAGCTATCCAATTCAGTCCTAACTTGATCTAGATCGACCCTTTACTGTGGGGTTTACTGACCCAGTATAGGGCCCAGGTCTCTAGAAATTTCTTCCTTTATTCAGGTGAGATGAAAAGTCTTTGAAGTTTTTGAAAACTTCTTCTGTACTATTCAGTTAAAGATTACTGTTTAAAAAGAAGCTGCTGAACTAATTCTGGGAGCTCCTCAGGCTCTCCTCCCCTTGCAGTCAGATCCTCCTGAGGTGATCCTTCTTGTGGTGTGGAGGTAGGCTGCACTTCCACCAGCTCCCCAAACATGCTGCCATAATACCATTGGGCTACTTCCTCCTTCATTTTTGTCTCCTGAGCAGAGGAAGCAGGCGTGATTAGCAATGGCTGGTATTCCAGCTTTGGCAAACATGTGCCAATGGCAATTAACATCCGGTCACAGAGATATTTTGAAGAGACTCGGGTCCTGTCTGGATACTTCCACATCTTCATGTACAGCAGACGTGGATACTTCCACATCTTCATGTACAGCAGACAATATATCCTACTGGGATACTTTCTGGTGACAAGTGCCACCAGCTGAGTTCCAAACTACCTGCCTCATCCTCCAAAGAAATAATGGCTGACACAGCTGGCAAATTCAGAGAATCTCTGAAACAGAAGAAACCTTGAACTGCACCAACCTGGAAGTTACCCAAGTAACAGAGACTGCACAGGAATGTAGGTGTAACATCCAAGGTATACAAAGCCTGCTCAAAGGAAATCCCACATTGTATACAGCTGGCATCCATCTGTAAGAAAAGATCTAGATACTTTTAACTTCTTTTCAGCATTACTAAGCATATCAAGCAAGCACCTTCTACACCCCTGCATTTTTTCTGGCGTGCCTCTCGCTCAATGCACTCAGCATGAGGAATTTATGGGGTGGGGTCATCTTTGGACATCTTGGTGTTGTGTCCCTTGGGTGTTCTCAACAGAACAACTACTAACAATCCTTCATAGATTATGTTGCTCCATCTCATTGGAGACTATACTGGAGAAATCAAGAATCATCCAAAGTGCTACAACAACTCCTAAAATTACAAAGTGGTTAACAAAAAACTGATTGTTGAATGCAGGTCTTGCGATTCAAAGATCACGGCCGGTCATGAAAT